GCAGACCGCCACGCAACTCAAGACACGGGCTGCGTCCACGCATCATCACGGAACGCATCACGTCAGACTCGCACTAGACTCGGTTCTTGGACACATCCTCGAGCTGGTACATACCTGAACTGTCGCCCCCTCGAGATGTACGTCGTGAAGTTGAACATGATCCTCGTCCAGGTGCTCTTGTTGATGCGTACCATGAACCATTCACGGCGTGGACACAAGGTGAGCTGGATGAGATGGTCAGGCGCAAAAAAGACAAGGACGCAAGGCCCACCTACAAGACTATTGCCTGCAGCGTTGGCGCCATAAAAATATTTCTGTGAGGTTGTGTGTTGAGTCGGACTCGTTGTCTTGCTTTCCCTGTCATGCAGTCTTGAGTGATCAAGTCATGATGGACAAAAATGTTCAGACGTTCATAACCTGGACCCGTGGAGTGCAGCCGACGTGGTTACAATATCACGGACCTTCGCTTCATGATCATCCACCGGGAGTTCAAGCTGAAAGGCCAACGCGTGTGCCGGCGCCAACGCCACCACCACCACAATTAGTTCTACCTCCTCCACCTCCCCCACCACCCCCGCTGCCGGAGATCTTCCACCCGCAGTTTGTGCCCTCACTACGGACATCACCCACATCATCCCCCCGAGGTCAGCCCCGCCCGGCTACCACGTCCTCTGAACGCACACGTCAGTCAGGACCAACTCAGTGCTGATGATCTTCGGGGCCTCACGCGCCAAAAGCGTACTCGCACATTGAAGGGCGCGGTCTCGTCTACAGCAGAGCACTATTCTCGACGACCCTTCACCGTGTTACTCGTGCTACACGGTCCAGAACTACAAGATGCAAACATTACTGCCATGCCTTTCTACATCATGGCCGGAAGCCTTCTGAGTGAAAAGATGGTCCGCCTTGCTTGCTGCTTGTGCTTGGGCTGCCTTGTCCTGAGTTGCGCTTTATCCATGTTTGTTCCTTCGCAGACTTCTTTGTCTCACAGCGGCGCATTCGGTTGTTATGCTCAATTCGACATTTGGAAACGAGAGATGGGCCCGCGCTACTTTGAGTACGACATCGTGCGTGGCACTGGAAACTCAAGAGTGGAATGGATTCGTGTTTACACACCGCGCACGTGGCAGCCTGTGGCAGAATCTACCTTAGGTCCGGCTCCGGACCACGCGTCCACATATCGTGAATGGCGCAGGGTCTACCACTTTGACGTGCATTGGCCTCGTGACAGCACAGGAGGCACCACTGCGGATGCCCTCGCACTGCCGGTCTCCTACGTGTCCTTTTACACGTGGCAATATCAAGATTTGGCACACACGAGGATACCAACGCCTTGGCAACCCACACCCAAGCATTGGATCGCCAGATCTCATGTATGCTGGGTTGTCATCCTCGTCGGCATCTTCGGTTTCAGATGGTGGTTGGCGTTCGCCTTCTCCTCCAGCGGGCTATGATCCTAATTTTGACTGCGACGAGTGACATTGATGCCTGCGCAGACTGTAGCTATAAAAACACTGCGCTTGTTGCTCCTTGCGTCTTGAGCGCATGGTCTAGGGTCTTGAGTTTGACTGGCATGTTCTGTGTTTCTTTCCTGCAGCCTTGAGCGTCATTGTCCGATCATCATGCCGTGGCTAGAATGGTGCCCTGATCCTCAACGACGCCCAATGGATTAAGATTTTTCATCCAGGGGCATGGACACCACAAGACGAACGTGATGACCCTCCTCCACGTCATACGTACAGGGAATGGAAGGAGTTTTATGCCCAAAATCATGCTCATGACGGTGTTCAATCCACTGCTCGTGCTTGGTACCAACGGGACTGGACCACGGAAGGTTACCGGCGTGTCGCTGCTCCTGAACCTGACAACTGCTTCAATTTGATGCTTTCCCCTGATCAACACAACGTGGCCACGCAGTCATCGGCTCTGCGCATGTCTACGCAGATGTTGCATGCGATTCTCCGATCTTCGGACGCATCGACCTTCTCTACTGAGGATCTCACTCGTCTGCAAGCAGGGATCTGTCAGCAGCTGTCGGATCGCGCGCGTCAAGCGTCGCAGCCGCACCAACCAGTACGCTCTTCTCGGGGCGCTGATCCGCTTGAATCTACTGGAGTCGCTGATCCCTACCTGCCCGCAAGCCGACCCAGCAGCTCAGACGTCAAGGAGAAGCCCATCTTCGAACTAGTTGCTGAGTAGACTGATGAGTTTTGACCATGGTGCAAAATGGTGCTTTCATGTCCTCTTGCTTGCTTGTGTGATTGTTGGTTGTGCGTGGTGGCTGTTTCCTTGCTAGCTGGATCGGAACCCGTGGCGCACCCTCTCTCTCATTTCGACATGGATACGGATGAAGCAACCCAAGCGTTGGCCCAGACTGACATTCAGCAGCCGTGGCTAGAGTATTCAGTATGGCAGGAACGTGAGTGGGCGCGGATCTACATTCCTGGACCCCTGGACAACCTCAACTATGGCACCAGGATGATGATGTACCTGACCTGCCAGAGAACACTTTTCGGGAGTGCTGAGACTCAAGAACGCGATGCCAGGTCACCATGAGCGAACGCCGCCATGCCTGGACCATTCGAGATTGGCAGCATCAAGGATATAACAAATATTGACCCGCTATGAGTCCTTCTCCACCCACAATGCTCTGGATCAACCACTTGATGGCTTACACAATCCGGACTTCTCCATCCAGGGTTCCCAGCATGGTCTTCGTCAGCAAAACCGCGGAATGATGGATATGTTCACCTACGCCCCGCCCATGTCAGACGCTGCACATCCGTCATCTCTGCACCTTCCGCCGGTCTTCTATGGCGGCATACTTCCTGCTCAACTTGGAGATCCTTCGTTCCCGTCTTTTGAGCGGTACCGCACAGAGCATGCAATTTCTCGTTCTCCCCGCCGCTGTGGATATTTTGGTAGACGTTAGGGAGTTGAGCACGTGGTCTTCCGGATGCAAAAGATAATGTTCGCCCCTGAGGGGCGTGTGTGTGCGGAAAACCCTGCCACCAATTTTTTTCTTCAGCAGGGGGGTCACCCGCAGTTACGACCGGTGACCCAACGAAGAGGGTCGTGACCTGCGCTGATATCTGGCCTGATCAGCCAGGGATGGTAGTGTTGTTCTGAATGTCCTTTTGGCCCCCCCCCCTGAACCGCCGTTGCTTCTGTGTGTCCCTGTTAAAGTAGCTACAGGGAAGCCAAGTGCATTGCGAGCCGAAACTCATCGTACTCGAGAGTTATCAGTTGTACTCGAGACTCATCGAGACTCATCAGTTGTACTCGAATGATTAGCACCCTCCCTTGAAAGTTGAAGTGTGTGTGTCTGTGGGTGTCCGTTTTTGGGAAGGAAGTCCTCAAAAAGGGGAAAGAAACCCAACACGGCCCGAGCATCCGCTGACCCCCACTACCAACAGCAGCCTGAGTATGCGCAGACCCCGGGCCTCAGAGACCAAAATACAGGAAAGGCCCCCAATAAAAGAAACACTACCAAAAGGCAGCCCGAATATCCGCAGACCCCGGGATCTACCTCAAACACCAACATGCAGGAACGTCGAAAAAAAAACAAAACAAACAGAAACACTACCAAAGGCAGCCCGAGTATCCGCAGACCCCGAGGTCTACCTCACAAACCAGCATACAGGAAAGAAATATAACAAAAACTACGAAAGACAGCCCGAGTATCCACAGACCCCAAAACACACCTCACAAACCTACATACAAGACAGTCGCCCCAAGAAAAAGAAACACTGCCAACAGCAGGAAAGTCCCCAACAAAAAGACCTTTGACCAAAGGCAGCCCCAGCATCCGCAAACCCCGAAATCTACCTCACAAACCAGCATGCAGGGAAGGCCCCCCCAAAAAAGAAAAGAAACACTCTCAACAGGTGGAGTCTGCGCAGACCAAAGCAGCCCGAGCATCCGCAGACTCAGAGACCAGCATACAGGCAAGTCCCTAAACAAAAAAAGAGCCACTACCAAAAGGCAGCCCGAATATCCGCAGAGCCGACATACCGGAAAGTCAAAGGAACGCTGCTCAAGGAAAGAAGAGCCTACCAAAGCCAGCCAAAGCATCCACAGACCCCGGGGTCTACCTCAGAGGCCAACATACAGGACAGTGACCCCGCGTAGGCGACCCTAAATCCACACTTTCTGGCGTAGCATGCCGCCGTTAGGCAATTAGCCTGCTAGCTTTAGCTATAGGGGCTGCAACCCTGGTGCCGCCGACCCTCACCACTTCTGATCGCCAGCTCGGGCTTGCGGTTTTGCTCGCCTGTGCGGAACCCTTGCAAAACATTGCGTTTTTGCAGGGTTCAGGCCATGTGGCTGACATCATCAGGGTCTGGGGTTGGGCCTGGGTGATGCTTCAGCAGGGTTTGGTCTGCATCATCAAGACTTCCTTCCAAAAAGTCTCAGCACTGTTTTTTAGGTGTTGGAGGGGTTTAAGCGAGGCTCATTTTCGCGCATTTTGGCGCCAAGCGCTGCCGGGCATGCCGGCGATGCTGGGCCCTCGCTCTACAAAACGCTGTAAATACCATCAAAAACTGAGTTGTTCTGTTCGCTTTGCTTTTGCTGTGGCTGGCTCGCGTGCTGCGCGGCCCTTGCTTTTTTCCCGTTGGTTTTCGGGCCTTCTGGCGCGCGCGCGCGACCCCAGCCACAAAACGCTGCTATTTACTGTGTTTTGTTGCATTTGCGTTTCCGGGCTGGCTTGCGGGCGGCTCTGGGCCTCTTTCTGGAGCCTCTGGCGCGCGTGCGCGCGCGACCCCATGTCAGCCTTCTGGGTTGGGGCCCGGCTGAGGCCCAGAAAGCTGGCATCCCCGGCATCATGGGGTGGGCAACATGCATAACCTAACCAGCCATATCATAGCACAGGGTACGTTTCTCATACAAAAAACATGACATGACATGGCATAACCTCAAAGAGGCGTAGGCCGCAGGCCCAAAAAAATGAAAGATTGCGATGTTGCAAGCTTGCAGGACATGCGTGTACCCGTGAGGTCCTCGGTCACGTTCTGAAAAGCCTGATATCAGGTGCAAATTCAAGACTTCATGAAAAGGCATTCCATACCTACACAGGTCTATAGATATCTTCAGAATGTGATTGAGCAGTTCGAAAGCTTGCTGAAGGCCTTCACATTGCTATCAATAGCCCGCAGCACCACAGACTTGTTCGCTCTCACCTGGCGTCTGCATTCTAGATCGGAAAAGTATGAATCGATTCCAGATACAGTGAATGTTGCTCCAACGTCCATTCAAAACGTTTCCTGAGGTAGCATGCAAATTCAACGCCTCTGCCGGTAGCAATCCCAAGGTGATGCCATCTTCCGACACTGCCTGCAGCTCAAAGATACGCAGGCCACCCCAAATGCCAAACTCAGGCACCGCACCTGCATGGCAATATCAATGTCCTGCTGCAACCTCAGGCTACGGAGGCTACTGTCAGTCAGAGCCACAGCCACAAAACCCGCTGCGAGGGCCAAGCTCCTCACCGACTGGAAGCATAAGACACTGAATGCCCATCCTGAAGCAACTCGCATGAATCGATACAACACATGCAACTCATGACGCGCACGCGCCGACAAACGCATCCTCGGTGTCCGGCTTGCGTGCAATCATAAATATGACATCTATTCGATTGAGCAAATATTTCCTTTTTAGCAACCCATCGAAGATTGCGCTCGTGACGCATGGTATGTCCAGCTGGATGCTTGGACTCCCTTTGGATTGGGCCCTCGCAAGCTCATCTCATCTTTTTCTTTTGGATTCATATACAGGCGTCTCAAGCCATCAGCTGTAAATGCAAATTGCCAGGTTTTGTCCAGAGCTTTGCTTGCCTTCCTTTGCCCGTGGGAAAGAAATCATGCCCATGCTGGAAAGCCGAGTCCTGCTTGAGTGCATGCGAGACAATCGCCTGAGTTCCAGTCAGCTGTCATAGCAATGACTTCACTTGCAACTCGCACTGGCCTTGTCGTCTTGCTGCGCTCTACTGAGGTAGACCAGCGCGTGGCCGTCGGCCTGCAAAGCCTGCAGAGCGGCGCCTTTCTGATTGGCTGTTTTGAGTTTTGTGCGCAGTCGCAGCCTCAGCAACCACCCCCGGGTCGTTGCGCAGGTCATCGCTTATCATGGCCAATGCTTGCCTGGTTGGTAGCATGTGGGAGGGCGCTCTCTCTTTGACTATGGCAACGTGACACCTCTATGAATTAGCTCTATGAATCAGAATCATGAATGTCGATTTTACCTGATGACTGGCCTGTTTGTGGCGACGGCTGCCTTCACCACATCCTTGTCATTCCTGCACCCACAAGCAGCAACTCCGCATCATGCCAACCACAAACTCCAAACACTATCTACCACAAGAAATGGACCACATCCTAAGCAGGACAGCTTGCCTTCAGCAGTATGAAATAGCAAAGCGAGAAGGGCTGTGTCCCAGTGCAATGTCTTCACCTTGACCACGCTAGTTGCCCCATGTCCTGCCTCAGCTCTGGCGATGCATAGCCCAAGGCTTGCCAGTTGCTTTGCACCGCTTCGAAAACAACTGCCTGGCACATCATGCCAGGCATGATGGCGTCGCTATCTGATAGCGTCCACAAAGCAATGAGTGGCAATAGTGACGATGAGCCTGAGAAAGGATCATGGGACTATGACCGCCTTGTGTCAGCCTGGAGTCATATGTTACATGCGTGTGAAGACAGAGTAAGCTGGGCTGGCCTGATCGTTTGACTTGAGGCTTGCCATGTGTACACGCTGGCTGTCCAAGAACATAGGAAGCATTCAGCAATTCAAGCCCGTCAGCAACAAACTGCGCATTGTTGTTGATGTGTTTGTTGGCTTTGTTGAAGCATGCATCTGTAACACTGTTGCTGTGCGTCGCGAATGAGAGAGAGTGCCAGGCGTACCCAAGCTTTCTCTTGCCCAGGCAATGGCTGGCATTGCGACCCACCTGCCGTTTCCCTCCAAGATCCATGAGGAAAGTCAAGGAACCTGGAACGAATGGTGATTCTGACAATGGCTTGGCGTACACCTGGCATGATTTTGTGCTGGGCCTTGTCAGAGCGGAACTTCTCGTGGGCGAAAAGCAGGGCATAGCCGGTACTTCTAACTGCCTGCATGAGCTTGCTTTTTGTTGAGGCGCTACCCAATGCATGAGTCTTACACTCAGCAAGTACAATGCATGAAGTATCATTGTCTTGCAGGGAAGCTATCACATGTGCCTCAATAACCACCTCGCAGTCAGCTCGCAGCCCGTGGGAAGCATAGCTGAGTGTGTATCCGTCCTGAATGGCACAACCCGAGGTGCTCACTCGTTGGAAAGAAAGCAAAGTTTTAGCTTTCTCCATGCATCTGCATAACTGGTTGCCCGACGTGCCTGCTGGACCGCTTCGAGCACGATGTCTCTGTCCGCCTGAGATCAAGGGATGGGAATGGGTGAATTTCAGCAATGAAAGACAGGCCCCCTTGTGTGCTCAAGATGGTGGCAAGAAGTAAAATCTTTAGCGGTGCACACTGTGTGCAAATGGTGTGTGTGTGTGCGTGGACGTCTGTGGGCGCGCGCGTGCGTGTGGATGTCTCCGGGCGCGCGCGCGCGTGTGCGCGTGTGGGGACGTGTGCGTGCGCGCGCGCGTGCGCGTGTGCGTGCGCGCGCGCGTGCGCGTGTGGGGGCGCGCGCATTCGCGTGCGCCTGTGCGTGAGCGCGCGCGCGTGCGTGGATGCGCGTGCACGCGTGCGTGTGCGTGCGTGCCCCTGCACGCGCGTGCGCCTGCGCGTCCGCGTGCGCATGCGCGGGCGCGTGTGCGTGCGCCTGCGCGTGCGCCCGTCCCTTCCCGCCCCTTCCCGCCCCTTCCCGTCCCTTCCCGTCCCTTCCCGTCCCTTCCCGTCCCTTCCCGTCCCTTCCCGTCCCTTCCCGTCCCTTCCCGTCCCTTCCTGCTTGCTTGCTTGCTCGGTCGCTTGCGTGCTTGCTGGTTTTCTTTATTCCGTTCTTTTGTCATTTATCTTGCTTGGTTTAACTATCCTCGCTCTTGCCTTCTTTCTTGTTTTCTGCGCTTATTTGTTTTGTTAGACATTCAGTGTTACCTTCATTTCTCTGGATGTTCTGTCTTTCTTTGTTTATTGAGGATTCTTTCTGCCCTTATTTATGTCTGTCTTTCTGTGTTGCTTTTCCTTGTGTTCTTTCCTTGTCTGTTTTTGCTAGTTTGCTTTCGTTTGTTTCTTTGTTTCTTTGTTTCTTTGTTTGGCTGGATGTTTCTGTTTCTTTGTTTTTTTGTTTTGCTGCCTTGTTTGCGTCTGCTGTCTCCTGGTTTAACTGCATGTTCTTTTGATTGTTGCTTCGCTTGTTCCCTCGCTCGTTTTGTCGCGAGTTTCTTGTTTTGCTTCTTTGTTTGCTTCTAAGCCTGATTGTACGTTTGTTCGGGCGGGTGTCTCTGTGTCCAGCGCGCGCGTGTGAGAGAGCGCGCTCGTGCGACGCCTACGCGCGCTGCTGTCCGCGGTTTGTGTCATTTGCGCGCGAACTTTTGTGTGTGTTGCGCGCTTGTGCGCTTGTGCGCTTGCGTGTCTCTGAGTTTGCGCGCGTTTGCGCCTGTATGAGTGCGCGCACGCATGCGTCTGTGAGTGCGTGATGCGTGCGTGTGGGTGTGTGTGTGTGACAGCTCTGATAGCAAAGAGTTTTTTGCAAGGAATGGAGTCGGTCTCCACTCTGCTGGGCTTGGGGGTCCTGATGAGGAAACCCAACAGAGCATCCGAAACTCCAAATAAACAGGCAGGGCCAGGGCGGATGTTTCCGCAGCTGGCATGCCTCTTTCTTTCTTTCGTCCGCTCGAACCTCTGGATACGTTTGTGATGGGGCTGTCTCAGACCAAGTATGACAGCCTTGATAGCAAAGAGGGAATGCAACAAGCAATGCACGGAGACCAGGTGACAGACCAGGTGACTTTCTATTCTCGAGGAGCGGATCAAGTGTGTATTCCACGCTGGGTTTTCTGATAAAGTGCCCAGTGGGGCTCCAAGGAGCCGGAAACCAACCTTTGCTCAATTTTCCCACCTGTCTCAGAGTTCCACGTTGTTTGATCTTGATCGCTGCGACTGCACGTCGCTAATGCATGTGAGCTTGAGTGCCGCAGAGGATTGTAAGGTCCGAGATGATGACATGGCTAAGCCACGAATATGCCACAGCCCTGTTTTCATTGACTTTCACTTTCCAACTCCGTAGAACAGGCAGAGCAAATCTGTCACAGTCCAGCAGCTGTTGATGCAACAGAACTCACAAGCAGCCATGCCTCCGCGGTGTTCAACTTCTTCACTGCCGCAGAGGAATCAGGCATCTCATCCTCTGCGCTCCTGACGCAGATTTCACGACCCAGAGTAAGTGAAGACACACTTGTAGATCCTGCAACCACCTCCGCACAGCGAACACACGCAACATTGCGAGCTCGGACTTTTCAACTTCCCCCAGGCACTTTTCCACCGCCCGGCGATCTTGTAGATCGGCCGCCTGGTAATTTTTCAAGCATACAGGAACGACCCCGCCGTCGCTCCAGAAAGCCGCGCAGGGCTGAAACACAAGAGAAAGGCGTCACAGTCGATCGCAGCGGAAAGAATTCGCATAGACACCGAACTGTTTGCAGCTGCCCCGAAGCCACCGAATACGGAGTTTCCGGACCGACAGGGTCCCCAACCCAGACCTCCGCCAACAACAGGGCCACCACCCAACCCATGCACGTCTCACTGGTTTCATCCGACATCTGATTTACAACAGACTCCTAAACCGCTCTCAACGCCGCGAAACGCTTGGGTATCCACAACACGCAGGACAGTGCCCTGTCTGGGAGAAGTCCTTGGGCGCATGTTCCTAACTTTGCAGGCAACGGGGTACTCAGCCAAAGGCAAGACCTTGGAGATGGCCATTCAGTCCTTACAGCGGCAAGTTAAGGAACTCACCCCACATGCAGCACAACCCGCATGCTCAAGGGCCAATGTTGAGGAAAGATCCGCATTCAGGCCAAGAACACATGCGGAACACGCAGCAAGAGTCGGATCTGCGGGACTTCTGGTGTTTTCCGGCTGATGAGACGCAGTTGGTGTCAAAGCATGGCCGGTCACTTTGGATACAAAATGTTTCAATCCCCCCTGGCAAGAACGCCGCCAGATCGGCGAGTATGACATTTGGTGGAATCATTTCACCAGCCAGGAGGGTCTCACGGGCATCATGCGGAGCGGCCTTGTAACGCCATCGAGCCGCGACGCCATGTCTATGACGAGTGAAGAGACCCCGGTGGGCTTTTTCTGCCGGGCTAGCTTAGAGTGTTGGGATGAAGCTTCATTTGCGCAGTGGGCCACAGTGATTACTCATCCCAAAAATAGCATTGGGGTGTCTGTGGCGGGCAAGTTTTCACACGCATTACAAGTACAGAGCAGCAAATACCAAAGCTGAACAACAAAAGCTCAGATTTCATCCGGTGATAAAGCCGGAAAGCTCGGACAAACGTTGGCTTGTCCGTAGCGACTGTCCGCTATAGTTTCGCGCTTGGTACTTTTGCATGATGCCAGTGACTGGGACAGCTGGGGCAAGTGGAAGCCCGCCGCAACCCTTGGCAAAGTCACGGGTCCACAAAGAGCGGGCAGATTGAGTGAGAATGGCAACACAATCTTTGCGATTGATGCCGCAAAGGGAACCAGTGTACAATGCCTAATTGGAACCTGCCCCACTTTTCTTCCTGCGATATCAAAACCGTGAAAGAGTCAGTCTTTATTGAATTCAGGCAAAGACGATCCAGAATGATTCGACTACTAAATAGACCACTTTCATCGGGCTTGGAAACTCTCCCGACGAACGCTTTGTTGTTCCATCAGCCCGGAGTGAGTTGTTTTAAGTCTTTTAAGGCTGACACCCAGATCGGCAAAGAAACAACCGCTACGCGCGAGGGTACAGTCTTGAGCTTGTGCCAATCCTTTCACTGAGAAGATGCGCCGCCATGTTTTTCGCACCAACGCATACCTCCGGCAGAGCGCCTTCTTCAAGTCTTTTTTGAGGCTGCCTATTGGATAAGCGCTAGACAAGTGACCTGGCCCACCACAAGTCCAGCAAAGTTGGGAACCTAAGTTCTTGCCTTTGCCTTTTCCTTTTCCTTTGTTCTTTCCAAAGTCCTTTCCTTTGCCTGCTTTGCCTTTTGCTTTTGCTTGAAAGTCCCAGTGGGGTCCCGTGCCTTTGCCTTTGCCTGGAAGTCCTTTGCCTTTACCTTTGCCTTCAAAGTGGGTTGCCTTTGCCCTTGCCTTTTCTCCAAAGCGCTCCAATGTCCATTGGTGCAGGGCCGTTGTTGCTGCTGCTCGAAGTGAGGATGTGCCGCGAGCGAAAGTACTCGACAATGACGTCCCTAACCTGCGTGTAAGTGGTGAGAGACCTTGCATTAAGTCGCAAGTGCATGCAAAGCACCCGTGGTCTTATTCAGCAAAGTCGCCACTAAGACGCTATCGGGAAGTTCGGTTCCAGTCTGTCGCTCGTACTTGACCTTAATTGTCTCCCAAGTATTAAAGTCGTGTTCAAAAGTTGCGGGATTAATCTTGAAGTCAAGCAGCTGTGTCAAAAGTGACACATGTCTTGTCGCATCCGGGAGTGCAAACTTCCTAAAAAGTCTCCTCTAGGTCTGAAAGCCATTGCTGTCTGCATTCTGCCTCACAATAAGTCTCGCAGTGTCTGTCGTCAAGTTGGCAAGCAAATAGTGCAGTTTGCGGCTAAAGATCAAAGTCTTCCTTGCGGCTTCCTCGTCACGGTCTCCAGCGTCCAAAGTCGTGACCAAGTCTTCGTCAGCGATTGGCGTCTCTCTGGTCTCTGCACTATCAAGTCCTTGAAGTGCAGAAGTCTCATACATAGAAACATATGCTTTGAAGTTCCAACTCCACTCTTCCCAATCTGCTGGCGAACCAAAGAAAGTGGAAGGCATCGGCAACCTAAGTTGTCCTCCACACGCTGCATCATCGCTTCCAAGTGCTCCTATGTTCATCTTGTCAAAGGTAGCTCTGGAAAGTGACTCAGGCACTCACCATGAAAAATCTCAGGTACCGAAGTACCTAAACTAACAGATCACCCTAAAGTGACTCTGAAAGTCAGCAGCGATCCTTTCACTCTCGCAGGCTTGAGCCAACCAAAGTTGGCAATCCATGCAAGTACTGAACCATGCATGAAGGAGGAAAAGTGCATCCATTTTGGCAAACCAGCAGACAGACAAACAAACAAACAAACAAACAAACAAACAAACAAACAAGCAAGCAAACAAACATACATAAATATGCCCAAAAGACGGAGTCTCCTTTCAACTCTGTTCCACCAGTCAAGCAGCCCGCAAGGCTTCGTTGGCAAAAACGATGGAGTGGCCGTCCTTGCAAATGCGGTTTGTGGAACATGGCTGTTGAGTCTAAGCAGAGATGAGGGAGATTCCTATAAATCACATGGTCTACTGGTTGGTTTGCAATGCTCACACTCGCTGTCCTGGCGCACAGCCTCCAGCACGACCTCCTTGCTGGCCTAAAGGCAGCGCAGCGCACCCCGAAAACTCTGGGCAACTAAGGGCAAACATTGGAAATGGGAGATGAGCGGCAAGCGCCAAAGCAACCAACCACCTTACACCCAACGGGGCGCGAACAGCCGTAGTTGTTTTATTGTCGGGCATTCCCAGTTACAAGCCCACCTACCTCACTTGAGCGATCAAGACGGACGCGGGTGTGAAGTCGCGCCTTCTTCGCTGGTGAGGCAAACACCAAGGCATGGCCATCCTGTGCAGTGAAACGGCTCAGTTAAATTATCAAATTCAAAAACGGCAAGAACTGGAAATATACTCTTTAAAAAAGAAAAGGGGAAAAGGTCATCTGTCAGCATCCGATCACTTCCCTGCGGGCTGTGGCAGGCCATGCGTGTCGGTGCGCATGGATTCACCGACAGCATACTCTGTTGGCCACATGCTTTCGTGGCCTGGCAGCTAGGCAGCTGAGTCTTTATGCTCGTACATACTTGACTATCTGCAACCTTTGGCCACTCAACAGAAGCAGAGTAATTGCAGCAAAGTCGTTCATCAACCGGTTGGAGTGTGATGAGCTTCAAGGCACCAGCCCATCCGCCTGTCGAACGGCCTCCATGACGACATCTAAGTCATCCCGGAGCTCAGCGCACGCGTACTGCCTCAGCGCTTGCCGCGTCGGTCGGCTTGACTTTTCTCTAGACAGTCGACGGCACGACGTGACTGGCTCATTCAACCGACATTCTCTCCCGAAAGGAGGAAAGGCCAGGGCGGCCGCAAAACAGGGTAGCACCTTTAGGCCCGATGCTGAATCCGAATTCTAACGCCGCTTCCCGGAGACCTGTGCTGCGGCATTCCCTGATGCCGCATTCATGCCCGGCTGACGCCGCATTGCCACACCACATTCTCCGACGCATTCTTTGATGAGTGGCAGCACTCGAGAGCACGAGGGAAAGCTTGATTTTGGACCCTCGTGCCTCTTCAGCATGCTATTTTCCTGCACATACTTTGGGGGGCTTCAGGAGTGGCACCCGCCTTCGGGAGGGAATTTGCTTTCCGAGAATTCGTCTTCACAATTCGTTTTTGGGCTGAATTCGGCTTTGGGAGGGAATGCGTCTTCCGGGAATTTGTCTGCTCTTTGTTTGTGCAGGCCTTGTACGGGTCGAGATTTATTTTTGGATTTGTTTGGTTTATTTTTGGATTTGTTTGTTTTCCGTCCTGGCTACTAAAATGTACGTATTTTACGCTAGTCCGTCAACATCATCAGCATCATTTTCAACATCCCCCGCATGTCCAGCCAACATCCCCAGCATCACCAGCAAATCGAGGGCCTTGGCTTCCTACATCTTCAGCATCATCGGTTCCTCTCCGGCAAGGTATAGGCATTTATGTATGCATGCTAAAAAGAGTGGCGGGTCCCTGTCATGATGGTAAAAGTGAGGATTCAAATACGGGCAAACTAATCCCTGTCCCGATGGCGAATTCCGGAGCCCCTTTTTTAGCCAAGACAGGAGCTGCTAGTGAAAAGATAGCGGCAACCCCAACGAGGGTTATGAGCCCAAACCTGTCCTGAGCATCTCGGTGGAATGGCCGGGATGCGGAGAAGAAGGTCCAGAAGCATGGACTCGGGCTTCGGGATGGACCAGGGCATCATGGTGGCAGAGCGAGACGGTGATGTCCATGAGCAAGAAGAACAGCCAGATCATGCAGAAGGACGACAAGAAGAAATTCGAACGGGAGTGGCAGTAAACCCGTTCTGGAGCCAGAAAGCACAGGATGAAGCGGTGCTGAGGGCGAGCCGACCGAGCGGGCTGCCACCGGTACCCGGCGGCGGATCGGTATGCACCCCGAGGCAACGTCGAGCCGGAAGAACAATGAGTTTTGGAGTGAAATCAAGAAGGACCTTGCCGCGGACTTGGAGTGGGCTGGAATGGAAGGAGATATGGCCAATGGTGGAGGGCAAGGTTCGCAAGAAGAAGTAGGACGTCCAGATGGTGGGCGAGAACGCGGTGATGGAGCTCTACTACATGGGAATGTGGAAGGGCTTCAACTAGGAGGAGACCTACGACCCGTGAAGGGAATGGGTGGGCCACAAGGAGAAAGATTGAGAAGGGCTAGCATCATGCGAGGCCGACCTGCAGAAAGAAAAGGCTATGAAGGACGAGGAGAAGCAGAACTTCATGGTCCTGGAGGGGCGGAAGGCGGAGTTGGGGTGGGAGATCAGCGAGCTCTTCGGCCAGGTGGAAGGCGAGAGCTACAGCATGATCCACGAGCTCTACAGCTAGGTGGGGGACGAAACCTACCGCATGGTGGACGAGAACAATATGCGGGTAGAAGTGGAGAAGATGAGACTATGGAGGATCCAGAGCTTCGGGATCAGCGGCTATGGGAAGCGGCCTGCAGGAGGACCGAGAGCACATCTCAGACAGCACGAGACCTTGCTCCGCTGAAACTGGACTGGATCTGGAATGATGAACACAAGGTGTGGGTTCCGGAGCGAGCCCGGCAAGCAGGAGATGACGAGCTCATCAGCGATATGGAGCTGGTGGAAGAGATGGAAAATAATTACATGAAGGCGTGCCGGACAGTGCGCAGGATGGAGAAGCAGAGAGAGTACCTCTTTGAAATCATCAAAGGTTTGAGGAGCGAGGTGAGGAAGTGGCAGGCAGAGGCAGCGTTCTGGAAGGAGCAGCATGATCAGAAGGAGGCAGAGAGGTTCGTAACGCCGCGGAAAAGATGGAGTTGTTTGCGACGCCGATGGAGCCTTCCTATGTGCTTGCGATGCCACCGCCACCGCCACCACCACCTCCGAGGCTATGGAGGACGCCTGTACCAAGATCTAGGTCGCCACCGAGATCACCTCCGAGGTCACCACCAAGGAACACAAGGATGACACCAGGAGGAACTACGATACCGGAAGGCGAGCCGCCAAGGGAAGAGAATGTTAGAGAGGCGGATCGCGGGTGGCAGGCGGAGTGGTCGGATGAGGACCGATGGTGGCAGACAGAATGGAATCCCAGGAGCTGGACGGCATGGAAGAGCTGGAAGGGCTGGGAAAATGAGGAGCAGAAGCCCGCAGTTGAACAAGTTGAGTCAGGAGGCGCTGGTGGGAAGGTGGAACTGCTGGAGCTGGTGTATGACCACTCGCTGTTGACTCTGGGAGATTGGATAGCTCAGGTTGGACCCCAGATCTCTCGCAAGGAGCGGCGGAATGGTGGGCTGGGACCATGGGGCAGGCAAAGCAGCTCTATGAAGTCTGGTTGAAATCAACGCCGCTGGAAAGGCTCAAGATCACCGTAGACGTGCCGGAGCGGCTAAAAACCCCGAGGTTCGTCAGGACGGAGCAGAGAGGTGTGACGCTGCTCTTCAAGGCGGTGCCGGAGGAGATTCGGAAAGAGCTCATCTCAGCGCGTGAGATAACGTCGACGGGGGTATTGTACAGACTCCTGGTCACTTACCAACCTGGAGGCCCAGGGGAAAGAGCCCTCATCTTGAAGAAGCTCACGGACCTGGGTGCGATGAGGAACTACGCGGAAGCGGCAACGGCTTTAAGCGCTTTAAGGGAGTGGCGGAGGTATTATCTGAGGGCTCAGGAGATTGGGCGCTTCCGGACCCGACCTTGCTAGCTGTGGCGCTGGAACGGGTAGTTCAACTGGTGAACAAGGGAGGTACGCAGGCCTTCAGGGTGGTCGCAACTTGGCCTGGACACGGCGCCTACGGCCCTCGGCATCTGGAGCTATTCGGAGCTGTTGCTGGCGGAAATGGACACAGCGAAGCTAATGGTTTCAGAAGGGGTGGCACAGCCCAAGGTCAAGGCGATGCAGACTGGATATGAGCGAGCAGCTCAAGGAGGACACCATGAAGGAACGGCATCTGCCAAGAAGGAGGTCACCAACTGCAGGTACTTCATATCGGAGAACGGTTGCAGAGCCGGGCGGAGCTGCAAGTGGCCATGGGGAGTTACAGACAAAGCAGCGCGATGCTGGACCTGTGGCGCAAAAACCCCCGCAGGAAGGCAGACTGCACGGTCAAAGCCGGGAATCCATATGCAGGAGGGAGACCAACACCAAAGCCGGCGGTCAAAGCGGCGAAGTGCGAGCTGGGTGGCAGCTCGGGGGGAGGAACAGGTGAAGAAAAATTGCTTTTGCCAGGAGTTGGAGAGACCAGCAACATGGCGGAAAAGGAGACTACATCATGGGCGGCGAGTACTACAGGAGGTGGAACTACGGCAGGTGGTGCAGGTAGCGGAACGGGGGAGCTTTTGGCTGAGGCGACGAGTCTTCTTCGTTCGTTGCGGATGCCGTCCATGAATGCGGTGATAGTAATGAAGCAGGTTGGAAGGGAAGGCCACGGGATGGGTCTTCTGGATGGAGGAGCAACGCACGCACTGAGGCCTGGGAAGAACCAAGAAGAATGGAGCCAAGCCGAGATCGTCGATGTGCACCTGGCAGATGGTTCAAGTACGAAAATGCGGAGCAAGCCAGGAACGCTGACGCTGCTGGCGGAAAAGGGCACGCAGGTCATAGTGCCGATGGGTGCAATGACGGAGGTTGGATACATGGTGACATGGTCCAATGGTGTGTGCGCGGTGACCTACAAAGGGAACCCGGTGAAGGTCACGATGGTTGCAGGCTGCCCAATGGTGGAAGAAAACGTGGCCTTGGGAATGATTGAGCAGATGGAACAGAAAAGCTGGCAATGCTGAAGGGCCAGGTAGAATCCAAGGATCCGACCTATGAGGAAGCCATGCTCAGGGCGTTGAAGGAGTTCTTCGTGGACGTCCCGGACCATGTGCTGGCTAGGTTGGTGGTTGCGCAGGAGTATGATCCGGTGAAGTTGCCGTGGAATAGGAGGAGGAGAAGAACGATTGAGCGGGCAGAGAAAATCCACGTTCATCTATTCTCCGGGGACGAGAAGAAATGGCGGGACATGGAGACAAGAGGCACGGCGATCATCTGCCTGGATAAGATCAACCACCCGAGGACTTGCTCAACGATGATGTCTACGGCTATCTCTTGGCCCTGGCAAAGAGTGGGGCGGTGGTGAGTGTCATAGGTGGCCCTCCCTGCCGCACGGTGTCAGCATGCAGGTCGAAATCGCCGGGACCAAGACCGGTGCGGAGTGAGGAGCATCCCTATGGGTTTCCGGACCTCACCAACTCGGAAAGGGAAATGGTGGAAGGGGACTCCATATTGTGGTTGAGGATGATGACGGTGTACCTTGGCGGAGGAAACTGCGAGAAGGAGAAACTTGCCTGCGGTGGCATACGGACAGGAACAACTACGTGATCCTGGGGACTACCGGGTGGATATCCCGAGAGAGAACCTGGTCAGTGTATGGCGGTTCCGGGCGTGGAGGGCGTTCGCTGAGCGGTACAAGATGGAAATGATTCATCTGGATCAAGGGCCGCTAGGTCATGAAAGACGCAAACCTACGACGATCGCCACGAACTTGGAACAGCTGCGGGGACTGGGGGAGGTTGCAGGACCGGGCCAAGGCGGTGAAGCGTGGTCGGAGAACCTGCAGGAGAGGATCGCTCAGACAAAGAGGTGGTCGGCATGGCAGGCATTCAAGGAAGCACTGAGGAGCCATGAAGAAGGACAAGTTCGTGCTCTTCGACCTTTGAGTGCAGCGGCAAAGGAGCAATGGAAAAGGCATTTTG